AGTATTGGCACTTCCTCGACTAATAGCTTACCTGCCTACCTGAGTCTCTCGTGAAAGAAATAAGAAGAAACTACGTTCCTTACGTAAAATGTTGAGACACAAAAGAGTATTTATTCAGAATATATAATCTTCATCAACTCTGCTTTATTGCATAATAAAGCAGAGAACAGGCAGACACAATTTCTTGACACTCATGGTATTATTTTTTTTTTTAATTGCACAATATCTCAATAAATTATAGTCTTCCTGTTGTTTTTGTGTATGAATACTGAAAGTTTTTTAAAGCTAAAACTAAATATTTTCATCGATATCCCTTCAGTAGTTTTTACATACATTATTTTCAGAAACCTTCATGTCTAAAACTATAAGGGTATTACCAAGTTATAAAAGTACTGTTAATCGGGCTTCTATATTTTAAAATATATAAATACAACTAGCACTCACCCCTATAAATTAATTTTAAAAGGCAGTTACTTTCATACTTATTCTAAAGTTTAGGTTCAGCAGATTATTATATTCATTTGACACTGGTTTAAAATAGCACGTTTCTCCGTTGGAATTTTTATTAGCTCTCTTTTTCCTTTTTGTAACGAGAGCTGCCTCAGTCCCTCTTTAGTGGAAATTTATTTAAATTCTTAAAAGAATATTCCCTTTTCTTTGTATTGTTACGCTCCTTGAGTTTCGGAAGCCTTAAGTGAGTTGGCTAGTTTGTTTGTTACTTCAATATTTAATTTATATTTGTTTTCTTATATTTTTTTTGTGTCATTATTCTTATCTCAAAGAATTATCACTTAATCTCAGCCGTACATAAAAATCTTTTGAAATTGAACTAAACAATGTGAGACCGCGCGAATCACGCTGAAATATTAATTAAAATCTATTCCCTTCGTTGCTACCCCTTAATTAAGTGCTAGTAGAGTTTTGTTGGAACGTATCCCTGGGGAGGCGGGTGACACCGAGCCGCATAAAACATTCATACCCTAAAACCGGTTAATAGCCGCAGTTTAGTGTACATGTACTCACGCTTTACTCTGTTTCGCTTAGGCAAGCCATTCATTTGATTTGCGTAGTTTAAATGTAAGCTGTGAACTTGAAGTTGACAAGTACAGTTAAGTAAGTTTAATATTTTTTCAGTTGTTTTGAATAAGAAAAGTTCTTGTGGCCTACACAATTTTATTTTCATAGTTTGATATTTTTGTACAATTTTTCATTTGTAGTTTAATAAGTATAGAGTTGCGTTTTTATTTAGCGAATATATGCAATGCAGTCAACGGCTTTTAAGTTGATAATAAGCGCTCAAATTAATTAGCCTTCTATATTAGGCTAATACAATGTATTTATTTTAGTTTTAGTAACACTACACAATGATCGTAGTTTGCTATTGCGATGACAGAATATCTTTTTACAGTTGGTTGCTTATATTCGAGTAGGTAGTCAAAAAAATCTTTTCTTTTATACATTGCGTTATTTTATACAACAAATCGTTGTATGACAGGAGCCAATAACATAATGGACCGCTAATCTAGGCCTGACGACATCACTGTAAACATTATATCTGCAAATTAATTAAAGTTTGAAATGATTTAAATATTGATTTAACTCCAGTAAGTAGCGAGCGGGTCGGGCCGTCCAAATATTTGTTGAAGGCAAACAGTAATATCGTTGCGCCTCCCGGCTATTCCCGATTCATCCGTTTCCGTATTTCCAATGTACCCTCGATATGATAATGCAGGCAATGCGTTACGAATGCTGATGTGTGTGAACTTCGGCTTAGCGAGGGATTCTATTCAAATTGCAGATAAACTCTTTTAACACTGACATCTCATATTGAAGATCTGTGTGTATCATCCTTTAGTTGTCCTTGTGTTTCAGTCACAAAGTATAAAGTGTAAAAGCTTAAGTAATCTACTCTGAGATATAACATATTGACGACTTCGTACATCTTAAAATGCTGAGTTAAAAAAGCAATCAGTATTTTTAGGTTCTAATGGCCACACCTTAAAACCTTTCGAGGATACAGGTGTGACACACCCACAATCCCACAAGTGTCACACCTATATCCTCGAGAGGCGATCTCACAAAAATTTGACTCAATTTTGAATCGAGTTGAATTTTTGTGACGTTACAAAATGAATGGCAAAATATATTTTTTATATTGGAAAAAAATAAACAGTTATATTACAGTTACACAGTACAGTACACAGTACAGTTATAAACAGTTATTAAGTACAAGTTAAATTGTATGCAAATACCAACCCGTCTGGTCAACGTGGTATAGTAGGCCAAATTCTCCTTTGTATGGAGAGGCCTATATCTGCACATAGGCCTGTCCTTACCTCCTCCTCCTCCGCTCCTTTCTGCTGTCAGTGCACTATTAAAGGTGACGAAGCAAACAAAAAATTAAAATTGTTAGCGACCTCGAAGGTAAGAGTTAAATAAATTATAACTATTTCACGGTCAAATTTTCAAAGTGACAAAGAGTTTTCTATGAGGAAAACTCAATATATAAGTTCCGTTATCGTTGAGAGCAAACATAAATTTAATGCTAACACATTTAAAATATGAGATCATACACTTAAGATCTATAATATAATCAGTGACTAATTATGATTATGGGACAGGAGAGACAGTGCGCAGGCTGTAGGTACTTTTTATTTTAATTTAATACATATGTTTTTAATTTAATATCTTACAATTTTATTTACAGTTTAAAGTTACATTGCTCGTACTTGGATAATCCTTTAAAGCGTGTAATGCCTGTGTTAGGAGACTCTGCTCTACAATAACCATATAGTTGTACCTATAGATTTATATATTTAATGTTAGGATAACACAATTCTCTTCAAGACTTGTTTTACAAACTGTTATCACGCTTCAAAAAGCTCACCACTAAATTTAATAATACATTTTGTTAAAGCAATTAATCTTTATAGAGGCGGAGATAATAATGGGTAACATTATCTCACTGTCGCGCCATCCTTAATGATTCGTCACTTTTAATGAGAGTTTTCAAAGTTGTACATTATAACTTTGCTTTTAAAATAAATTAATAACCTATTATAAGAGCTACACTTAAATATGTAGACAGGATAATGGATAGTATTATTTGTTGCCTGTAGGTATGTCACATTGAAAAGTAAGTTTTCACCTAAGAACCTAAAAGTAAGGTATAACTGACACGTTTTGTTATTTTAATCAATTTAAATTCAATTTTAGCGACATAAGTTTTTTTTTAATACTTTTTAATTAGTTTATAATATAACTAGCTGACTCACGCAACTTTGTCTGCTTCTCTCAAAAGGAATAAATTTTGCCCGTTTTCGCAACATTTTTTATTGATACTCGGCTCCTGTTGGTCGTGGCATGATGTTATAAAGCCTATATCCTTTTTCGATATAAGGACTATGCAACACTAAAAGAATGTATCAATTCGAAGCCGTAGTACCTGAGATTACCCAGAACATACAAACTCACAAACTTTACCTCTTTATAATATTAGTATGGATCTTTCACAGTCTTCTTTCTCATTTACTCACTCACTTTTCATATTATGAGATTTAAAAATTCTTTTAAACTTTGTCCGGTCAATAACGAACAAAAAAAGAATTATCCAATTTGATGCAGTCGTAGTGGTAGTTAGAGGTAGAAGAAAATATTGATTATATTATTGATATGATTGTAAATGCGGTTACTTAATTTTTTTAAATATGCAGTTTTTAGTATAATATAAACAATTCGAAAGTAATATTTTTGAATGTCAAAAACCCCTACACTAACTGTACATTTTTTAAATGAAGTCAAAAAACCTTTATCGGAGGGGTGGACATCGTTACTATAGATAGACAGGGATCATCTTTAAGCTTGTTCAGTATCGACTCATCAAAGTTTTGCGGAGCCAGCAACTTGGCGGGAGCGAATAATGAAGACTTATGAGTCTGGCTGTCTCCTCTGCAACTCGATAATTGTCATCTCAGAATTAGGACCGGAAAATGAAACCCAATTTATCCTTTTGCTAAGTTGTTATAACTTACGTTGACAGATTTCGACATGAGTAGATAAATTTCTAGATAAGAGAATAAAACAGAGTGAAGTAGTGAAAAATAATTTTGCTGAATAAATAATTATGTTGGCAACGAATGATGAGACATTAAAAATGTAGGTATGTGTTACAATTTTCATTAATTTTTATCTAGTGTTTTTATATGAAGAAATAAAAACCTTTACCTAGGTAAGACCGCTTATGGAGGATTGGCTCGGGAGGCATCACGGGACCCTCTCAAACCGGCTGATACAGATGATCACTGGGAAAGGATACTTCGGGAATTACCTGTGTGTGATCCGCAAGGAGCTAACGTCCGGCATGTCCTGTCAGAATGTCCGGCGTGGGTGTCTGTGAACTCTGCCGTCGCCTTCTGTGAGCAAGTTATGCTTGCGAAGAAGATGGCGGAGAGGTTTAGAACTCTCCCGGTCCACCAGGCTGGGGCACGGGCCAGGTACCGCAGACGAATCGGGCACCAGAGGTCGCAGAATGACCTCAGTCCTCCATAAGCGCAGGCCTGGGGGTGACAGGTGAGGCCATCTGTCACCATAGCAGAAGCAGGCCCCTGCGGAGCGCGCGTGCCCTTTCGGGAGCTCAAAGAGAACATGGGGATTCCCACAAAGGAGGAGGTCGTCCTTTCTTTCTATTTCCTTTCTAGGGCACACCTGGTTCCCCAGCTACTGTTACCTGAGACGGCTTGCGGTTTTAAGTCGGTTCGAGTCCAACATAACTACCGGTGGGCGCTTATTACCCCTGTGACTCGAAAAAAAATGTGATTGGGTAAAAATATATTTAATTGCTTACATTACTTTACCTTACCTTAATTTTTTAGCATTGATTATATAAAAAACATAAATTTCTTTAAAAAAAGAAAGAAGCAGATTTTTACTTCATAAAATATGGGGGCTAAAGTAAGCTCTTAACATGCCCCTTCTATAGTGGTTAGTGTATCGGGGCTGTAATGCGTGGTACATCGTTCCACGTGAACTGGCATGATTCATCAGAGCCCATTCACTACGATCTCTGGATTCGGTGCGGTTTAACTAGAGATGAGGGAAAACCTGTTTTAAAAGAAAAGTTATATTTCACAAAATTAAGTCAATTCTCATTTTGTTCACTTCAGAAACGGCATCTTGTAAAGTCAACTCCCGAACAGCACCAGGAATATATCCAGTATCGCGAGCGAGGCATCCAGAGCGAGGCGACCGCCGCTTCCTACTGCCTTGTAGGAAACAGTTAGGCACTCTACCTGTACAGTCAATTCAAAGGTCAAGGCTATATCGAAAGATACTTATTATAAATGAAACAGATATTTAAACCGAAATGTAAAGATTTCATTGCTAGTCTTGAGACTACTAAAAATTCCATCATCACATGTAAGATAGGGTAGTACATTATTTTAAATATTTTTGTTAATATTTTTATTTTATATTAAGGTGGCAAAACAATGGCCAAGCCTTATCTACACTCGGTTCCAAAAATTACGGGTCAGTCACAAAAATTGAAATACCTCCAGAACTGTAAAAGTTAGATCAATGAAATAAAAAACAGAATAAAGACTTTTTAGTTGCTCTTATAATAGCATATTATTTAAACTGGTTGATGAAAAAAACTTCATTAGAAAAACAAAATTTAAAAAAATGACTATTTTTAAAAACAAAATTTCATTATAGATGCTTTCCATTTCTAATCAGTCACAAAAAAAAATATCGTGAACGTCTTCCACGTGCATAATTATTATTCTGTGAGGTGAAGCATGGCAGTCACCCTAGAGGAATGTACCAGAATCCTAACTTTTTGGAACTTGAACAGAGCCAGCGTGAAACAGCCAGAAACATTGGTGTATCTTTGTCGACTGTTCAGCGGGTAGTCTAGCGGTACCAAGAGACCGAATCACACCTTAGAAGACCAGGATATGGCAGACCAAGATGCACAACGGCCAGGGAAGACAGACAACTGGTGGCTACAATGCTCCGAAATCGTTTTCAAACTGCTGTTGGTCTAAAAACTCACTGTATTCGCTTTGGAGGTTTCAATTTAAGCGCTCAAACAGTAAGAAGACGTCTTGCTGAAGCCAATTTGAAACCATTGAGGCCCGCAAATGGCCCCAAACTGGAACAGGGACATCGAATTGCAAGACAGAGATACGTGCGCGAGCACCTAAACTGGACACTAGACGATTGGTCTAGGGTAATGTTCACGGACGAGTCTAAATTCATGCTTTATAAGCATGATGGTAGGCAGTTGGTGTACAGAAGACCAGGGGAGCGCTTCCATCAACCGTGTGTGGAGGAAAAAGTGGCGTACGGTGGAGGCTCCGTACAAGTTTGGGCTGGGATTTCTACTGAGGCCCGCACCGAGCTGGTACTCATTCAAAATGGAACTCTAAATGCAGAGAGGTACGTGGAAGAGATCCTCAATGAACATGTAGGTCCTTTCATGGCCAGGATGGACCGGCATGGTATATTAATGCATGATAATGCGCATCCCCATACCGCCAGAATTGTACATGACTACCTTGAAAAGGTCGGTATCGAACTCATGCAGTGGCCAGCGCGAAGCCCGGACTTAAACCCTATCGAGCACGCCTGGGACGAGCTTTAGAGATACGTGAAAGGTCGAAACCCCCCCCCAATCACGCTTCCCGAGCTCAAACAAGCACTGGTGGAGGAATGGGGAGGTATTCCTCAGCACCGGCTAGAAGAGCTCGTGGAGGCAATACAAAGTATTAAATGAAGAAAGTGACGAAAAACAGCAAAAAAATAATCATAAAAAAATGTAATCTCAAGGAAAATATGACTACTTTAGTTTTTTTTTTATTTAGAGATAAGTTAAGAATTAGAGAGTTTAGATTTAAGTTTTATTTTATTTTTTATCTGTATATGTAATTAAATTCTCAATTGAACAGTCTTCGTTTCATTAGGATGGCATACGTAGTTCGGGAGATATTCGGGTTTATGTGACTGACCCGTTATTTTTGGAACCGAGTTTATATGTCGACTACTGCTTGTTTGCTGATAATGAGAGTAGCCTAGACATATTTTTAAATAAATAATTAACTAAAATCTGAAGGTAAATATCAATTATAGCATTGAACATGAAGTCACATCACTACGTGTCGTTCGACAGAGATTTAGCCGACGCGCCGCGGATTACCGTGATTTCCCGAGGGGCCTGGACCGAAAAGACACCTCCGTTGCATTCGCATTATTACTTTCCCATACCGCGGACAGCTGGTGACGCGTTGAGCACCAGTAATTATTTTGTGACTTCATAATTATTTGTACTTTGTATAACTATATTGATATTTATTTATTTATTTATAACTTTTTGCACAAGTACATGCATCGGCGGACTTAATGCCTAAGGCATAAGATAATATATAAATATATATATGAAAAATATATATATATATGATAATATATATATTTATATGATATTGTTGAGTAATTTCCCTGTATTATTAAAAAAGATTCACTAAATACCTAACATAGCTAAAATATCTTTATAATTAGCGAGGATAATAATAGCGAGAATTAATATCTAAACATCTATTAGATGTTTTGTATGAAATAGAAAAAAAAAGTAGTAGTGTAGCAATTGTCGTTACTTTCCTAGACCAAATAACTTAAGTCTTCTTGTCATCTTACTTTACGTTACTTTTCGACATTTTAGACCTTTTAGACATTGTTCTTAAGTATTAGGTATTCATAGTTTTAAAAAGTTGTAACTACAGTACCTTATGATAAATATTTCGCAGTTTTAACTAAAATATCTAAATTTGTCAAATCTGTAAGCAGTGGATTGAATTAGGTATCACTGGAAAAATACAATTTAGAATTTCACTCGTTCGAACCCGGGCGGGTCACTAGTTGTTTGTAAATGTTTAATAAATAAGTTGTCAAAGAGGTACGTCTTATCTCTCGTCTCTTTGAACTTAATAGTATTTAAAAGATGTAGCCAAGCTATTTTCAGTAACAACAGTACGTAAATTAAGAAAATAGCAACACTAAAGTTAGTGAGATTCCAGTTTTCCCAATAATGGACTTCCACGTTTTGGTTGCTAAGTTGCCAAAATCTGTCATGTTTTTATGAAAGAAGGTTGATATTGTATTAATTCGATAAGAGCATCGTATCGTAATAAATAAAATATGGTCGGATGAACATATTAATGTTTGTCATGAAAATAAAAACATCGATGTCCACCCTCCGAAGGCGTCGACAATGCATCACGAGGCGACATCCGGCGGAACCGGCATAACGAGCCCGTTGTTCCGCACCCCGCACCCCTTCAACCCCTCGGTATTTTTCTACAGAACCCCACTGAGATTATTTTCGGATAGAATTGACTCGATTTCAATGCTTCCATAGCGATGAATACCGGTTCATATTAATGATTTGTCCGCAGGCTCTTCGCCTACATTGAATAACCATTCATATATCACTAGTAATGACGGTTATTAAGCAGGGTTTCAAGTTATCATTATTTTAATATTGTTTGGTAAAAACTCTGTATCATGATATGTCTTTAAAGAGTTACAACTTGACACTGTGTTTGTGTGTAAAATGTGTCATTTTTTTTTCCAATGCATGTTGACAAATTTGAATTATCATAATTTATCATATTTTAAATCATCATATTTGATATCATAATAATTTAATAATGCTTATAAGATTTTTGTTGCTGTTAGATTAGGACCCCTATGCTTACGTTAGATAGTAACCGTTCTCCTTTCTATTTTCAATAAATAGCAAACAGCAACAAACACTGGATTTAAACGAAAATCATTAATAAAAATGTAAATATTATAATTATAATAATGAATAAAAAATGTCATTTTCTTATTTATAATTATACATGTAAAGAATCTATCCACTTTCTAATTTAGATAATTGTGGTAGTAGAACTAATAACTAATCATTTCTAATATTTCAATATACTAGTTTTATTTATTTAAATAAAAATTATAACGAACGCAAAGAGTAACATTTCATAAAACAGGCATATGGTGTAGAAAAAAATATATGTGAAACTGCCATATTTGATACTTTCAAAGAAGTTAAGCTACTAACGAGGCTCTTCGTAGTCATGTTATGATCGTTCAAAGAGCACCAATTAGACCAGCTTAAGGTACATAAGAGGCTTTATGCCCGTAGAAACTGTTCGAAAGCAGCCCACGCTATTAATTCTTCGTTATGCCTCTCAGAAACTCAAAGCCGAAGCGGAAATTTGTATAAACTGTCTATTTGGGGATCGATCAATAATAATATCATACAACAAACATTTAAGTGCTATTAGGACTTGATATTAGCTCTATTTAGAAAAAGAGTAAGCATTAATTCATATAGACTAACATAACCTTTTGGAGACACGGAGTTTGTACTCTTATCGTCAATCTAAGTGAGATATCTGTTTTTGTTTCTGTATGGCAAATTACTTAAGTCAAGTCCTTAATTTATACTTGAATGGCAAATATATAAAACACAAATAATGACGACGTCTTACGGCAATTCCTAATTTTTTTTTAGTTTTACAAAACAAAGCTGAAAATGCAAATTGAATTACATTGAAAGAAAATTAATATTTGTCAACTCAGCATGGCATAAAAAGGGGTCGAGATATAATTCTGGTTTTAATTAATTCGGATTGATATTATGACAACTGTTTCGTAAATTAATTATAAGTTCAGCCCTCCGAACTACTAAAAAAAATTTGGTTCGTGGGGTTTTTCAAGTAAATAATGAATACTCACTGATACCATAAGGTTAAGAAACGTTCTATTTCATTCTAGTCTGATTAAATCGTAATTGTAAGGATCACAACCGGCCGTAAATTTCCATAAAAAATTGCAAGTTCTAAGAAATACTAAAACATGTACTCGTACGTGTAAATTATTTTAAAATTTTCATACTCAGAAAACAGCGATAACAACGAGTATTAGACAGGTAGAATTAGCGAAAAAATCTTGAAAAATCCGGCAAATTTCTATTGGAGCGAAATAATTTTTATTAAAGATTTAACTATCAAGAATTGATTGCAATAAAAATTATAACAAAATATTGTCAGCTAAGGTGGCAAAACAAATGTCAAAAATTGTAAAAACAAGTTTTTCGCATGTGGAGCGAAAGCTAAACCCCCTGGACTACGAAAATAAGTTGAATGTAACAAATGTGCGCAATGAAAAAACAAAGAGAATGAACCCCTGGAAAGCAAAATCGCAAGCCATCTTGTGCAAATCG